TTAAAGCTTAATTTCAAGCTTCTTGCTAAGGATAGGAAGAACTATAAGCCATATCTAACTAACTTTGGGTGCTAAGAAGGGGTTTGACAACAAAGAAGCTCACCCTCTTTTAAGAGGTGAAACTTTTGAACTTTTCTCACATTTTCTCTCTCCTTGTTCATCTTTAAGCTCTGAATTTTGTTGTTAGCATATGAGGAGTCCTCATGGATGGAGAGGGAAGTAGATAGTATCCATTGAGTGGATTATTTCCTTCATTTTCTATATGTTGGTGCTCATTTCTTACTTTCTAGGGGTGTAATTCTTTGTTATTGTATGTAAATATATTGATTGGAACCTTGTGAATGGGTTGGTAGTTAGAAAGTAGCCACTTATCCACAAGTTGGACTATATAACGTAGTTTCTTTTATATGCTTGCATTTTCTCATCACTTGTCTAATCATTAAGCATGTTAGTTCATGTGCTTCAATCTCTACTCAATCTTGAGTTGATGGGGTTGTTGCATGGAGCTATTTGAATGATCCTTTAGATTTGATGTTGAGAAAGTTGCTGGTCTTGTGATTTTGATTGATTTTTCTTGGAAGTAAAGTAAGAGGTTTTAGGTCAAAGATGTTGAAAACTCTCCCCTCAATCTTTTGTGCACATGGAAAAGGATGGAAACATCCTTGTTCCATGAACTCAATAGCCTTTTATGAATCTCTTACTTTAAAGGCAAAGCTTCCACCAAGAAATAGTGGACATTAATCTACTCTCGCCAATTGATAACATGAATTTGAGTATTAACCTGCCCCTATTCATAAAGAGATGATTTTAGGTTCTCATAAATTTCTTGGGTTTGAATTTCTTCCAACCTCTAATTCTTTTCATTTGATTAACTGTTGTAAATACCTGTTGTGTATAGTTTATTATGTTATTATATAATGGTTAAGGCCTATCTATTTTATCCTTGAATGTTTCCTGCAAGAGAAACGGGTAGAAAGGATGAGCATCTCTTAGAAGATGTGTTTTGGTTCTGCTTTGGTTCTATTGCACAAAAACAGAGTTTTTCTTGGAGGTTATACACGACTAGATCCTTTTACATTTGACCGGATAATTTTGTGTACAGTCCAATGAACTTTGTCCCAAGACAGAGCAGAGCAGAACAAGGTAGTTTCTGGGAAGTGCTCTTCTAGGCATTTATGGCTGCGTTTATAATTTTTTTTTTTTTTTTAAATTTCAATATGATTTGTTAGATTCAGCTTTCATATTGTTATAATTTGTTAGATTCAGCTTTGATTTGGTTGAATCAATTCAAATGTTGTAATAACTTCTAACCCCACGTCTTCTATTCATTCAAATGTTGTAATAACTTCTAACTCCACGTCTCATTTATTCAAATATTGTAATAACTTCTAACCCCGCATCTTTCTACCTCTTTTACTTATATGCTTTCTGTATATATAGCATCATGTTTTATTTATAATATTCATGACTTGCATCCATTCTTCATGCATTTGGGTTTATCTCATTTACATTTGTGGGAGTTATCATTTCTACATGATTATATGCATTATATTATGCTTTGAAATGATGCGCATGACACATGTTAGTAGCCGAGACCTTATGTACATTTTGTGGGTGTACTGCATTAGTTATTTATGAATAGGATCATGCATATATTTCTGATACATTTTTTGGCTTATCACAAAGGAGTACTAAGTGATCATTTTTTCAATTTTAGCACCCTGCATGTACATATTACTTACTATAGCCGACATTATGCCATGTGACTATATGCTTAAGTGAAATATCTATGTGAATGCTAGTGGATGGAGGTTATATTGTTTGTGTTGGAATACGGTTGATTCTTATGCTTTTGATCTCTTTGTTATTGAGAGTTGTGCAAAAAGATTTTTCAAAATGCATGAAATCACAGCATAACCAGAACCAATGACACAATCTATACTTATTTGCCTCAAATAGTAATGTCAGCATTATTAAAATCAGAACATAAACATATGGATACTATAAAACTCATATCATGACTTAGTAGAGGTCGATTTTTTGATCAAGTGAGTACGGGTGCTCAATTCATGACCTTCCCCTTCTCATATTTAAGTTCCTGAGTCAAGACACTTTGGTTATAATGGGACAGTGGCCTTTGGCACTAGTTGTGAGTTTCTTAGTTTTTCTAAAAGATTAGGTGGAGATTCTAAAATTTGGTGATGTAGTCCATTTTCAAGCAAAGATTTTGCAATAAAATAGATTTTTTGTACAAATTGTCAGATCTAGACTCTTATTTATGTTTCGCATTGCACTTATAAAACTAGATCAGAAGATCAGGAGTTCGAACTGTTGGGCGCACTCGATAACCCTGAAAGGCATCCTACAATGAGATTAGTGGTTAATTATTAATTGAATTACATCATTGTGGGCTCAGAAAACCTAGCTTCGTTGCATGATATCCCGAACACTATTCGTGGGTTATGTTATGTTAACAAGCAAGCGTTAGATTTTGCTATTAGTAACCATTTGATCATCTCCTTACACTCCAAGGTGGCATGAGAGGTATATTAATAGTCATAGTTGATGTACCCTCTTGACTCTACCTTTGTATATAGAAAACTTTAGCACCTTCCAAACTAGGACATGATTTCCTCCTTTTTAGGATTGTATTGTTGTCTTTTTGTATGATTTTGGTGAATCTTAGATCATATGTCCAAATTAGGAAACTACCCCCAAATAGGCATGAATGCAAATTGTGTACTTATGTGATATCTTGTCTTGAATGGAAATGGTGTGATTGGATTCTGAAATCAGAAGTTAGTTAGGCAATGATGTGATTCAAGAATTTGACGGTCTGCTTAGGCAATGATTCGATTCTAAAAAAAGCTGAGAAGTTCTAGGCAATAATCTAATTCTAAAATATAGGGCTCAAGTCAGACAATGATTTGATTTGGTTTTGATTCTAGCAGTCAGTGGTGAATTATGGTAGTTTTATAACTTGAAGGATTTGAATTTGAATTTGGATTCCTACTTTAGCGATCAATTGAGAATTAAAACTAAAAAAATAAAAATAAATAAATTTTTTTTTTACATGTTAGGTAGAACCTTGAAGATTACGGAAGGTGTTTGATTGAATTTTGAAGTTATTGATTTTGGGAGAATTTTGATTTTACGGTAGTGTTACACGCACCAATTAGTATACTACTTAGCGTACCAACATAGTTATGACATTGTCATTTTAAAACTATAATCTCACCTATTATACAGATTACAAAAACCTAAAACTTCTAAAATTATGTCATATCATCCATTAGTATATAAATGGTATAGCAATTAATGTATAAAAATTGGTACATATGACATTATTCTTGATTTTGTGGAGAAAAAAAAAATTATAGACAATGAAGTGGTAACCAAGTCTCCCATTTTGAATGAAGTTTCAATTCTCCTAAAAGGCATTTAACTAGAAGATAATTATTTGATTGAGTACTTGGAATAAAATTCGAAGCTCTTTTGGGGGGAAATAATTTTTTTGAAAAAATCTAAGTAGAATTTTAGAAATTATGCAAGATGTTTGATCAAATGAAAATTTTTAAGTTATTGACTTCGGAAAGAATTTTGATTTTAAAAAAAGTGTTAGATAAGGAGGTGATGACCAAGTCTTTTACTTTGAAATAGAATTTTGTAGGGGTAAGCATGGTCCGGATTGGTTCAGATTGGGAAAAAACCAGGATCAATCTGTTATTTACGGTTCTTGAAAAATTAGAATCAATCTAATCTATTTAAATCATGGAACCAATTCTAACCAATCCGTTTAAACACAGATCGGATCGGTTTAAGACCACAGATTCGCATAATTAAATAACAAAAAAAATATAGAATATTTTAATTTCATAAAAATATAAACATAGCATCAAACAAAAACAATAAACAAAAGCAACAAACAAAAGTAATAAAATTGAATATACATTACACAAAGCAGAGTTCTCCTCTATATTAAAACTAAATATAGTATCAAACAAAAGTAATAAGAAAACTGGTCTAGCTTTTATATGAAATAAGAAATTATATAATATAAATATAGACTATTTGTATAAGGTCCGGATTGGTTCCAATCCATAACCGAACCACGAATTCAAAAACCAATCCAAACTTATCGGATTGAACTGGATCATATCGAATTATGAATTATTCAAATTTCTTACTTAGCCCTAGAATTTTGAATTTTCTTAGGAGACATTTGACTAGAAGATGATTGTCTGATTAGATGTTTGAAATAAAATTTGGAGTTCCTTAGAAATTTGAACAAAATGAAAAGACAATGAACCGCATATGAACTAAATTATAAAGGGGTAAAGTAGAATTTGCCTAAATTAAAATTAAGTAATACTATAGGTATTGTGATATTACCGAGACTAAGCTTCACCAAATTGTTTTCTTTCTTCATCCAATAATAAAAAATAATTACCTATTGTTTTGTCTCATCCTAACCAAGAAAAAAAGTTAAAGTTCCTGACAGTGAGCCGAAGTCCTAATAGATAAGATAAAATCAGAAATACCCTTTATCTCATACTACTCTCTCGATATATAAATATAATATACTCTTTCGGAAAAACACGAAAAAAATTTCTCATATCAAATTCGAAATGTCATACTATTTTTACCTAATATTCATGGATGAAAATTAATTACGTATTGTTTTATCTCATCCTAACCAAACATAATATCTCACTCAATCTATTATTTGTGGTCATCACTTCTGCTTTTTACTATGTGTAGATAAAAAAAGGAAAAAAGAAAAAAAAATTGAATAGAAGTGTTACATACCTAAAAAAGAAAAGAAAAAAAAACTCACAAAAAAATGTCTATAATTTAAATGTATAGTATAAATTTATACCTTAATATTGTATAGATCAAACCAATGATGAATCTAATCACATTTCAAAAAAAAATTGATTTCTTATTTATTTATTTATTTACTGTGCGTTAGTAACATTGCTGAAAGCTAAATTGGTCCATAACTAGAAAGGAACACAATTATTTGAATTTATTGCCCTCCCATTATTTTACATCGTAGTAAGGGAGTCATGAAGCTAAAAGCAATACAAAGAGCAAATGCAAAAGATAAGCTAGTTAGGGAGTCATGAAGCTAAAAGCAATACAAAGAGCAAATGCAAAAGATCAGAGAGGGAATGGCTACATTCTTTCACAAAGATTATAAGCCCTGAACAATCCCTCTTCAATCTCTTCTTCTCTCTACCCCAACAACAAGTCTACAATCAATTATAACTCAACCTCAACAATGTGAAATTTCTTATCCTCCTCAGGCATATGATCCAAGTTCAAAGTTACCAAACCAGACACTGAATCATACTCAAACTCAACCATGGTCAAGCCCACGGTGCACTTTCTTGGCTTAGCCGATGAGTAAGCACCAAACCGGCCACACCCCTTAACCTCCATCCGAACCATGGCAACCAATTCCCCACTCAGGTTCTCAACCCTCTCTCCAGCCAATTCATTTCCTTCACCTCTATATCCATCTTCTAGTTCACACAACCGTGCACCTCCTTTAACCTCATATTTAAGGGCTTCAATTGCACCACCGGCATTGAACATGTCAATGAGCCCCAAGGGTGCAAAGTTGAACCCGGGGGCCAATACCTTGATAGGCGTAACGGTGAATATGTCGTGTTCGAGGACCTTGAGAGATATGGGCATAGCAGCATTGGAAGGTAGAGTGATAAGCTCACCGCTCCGGTGAGAGTAGATGGCAGAGTCACCATTCCATTCGGGGTCCATGGCAACATCACCAATGAGGTGGACATCGCAGCCCCTAACCAAGCCGGTTATGGCTTCGGATCCGGTTTGGTGGAATGTGTTCTTTCTTTCAATTGTGTTCCAGGCTGCACCCTGGCAGTTGTAGACTCCAAGCACTCCAGTGTACTTGTTCATGTTCCATATCTTCAACAAGCTGAAAACAAACAATTGTCGGTAAGAAAATGACCATAATTCTTAAAAAAGGTACTTCAAATTTTATAACATATATATATAATAGTAAGAAGAGGACTAGAAATTTTGAAAAAAATATTTTTGTTCCAACTTAAGTGGACTGCTTATGATTTTTTTATTTTTTTTGAAATTTACATGTCCGACTGTTGTAGGAAAATGATTAGTCCCAACACTGGACACCAGAGGCCTTATTTGGTAAGTGGTTTTTTTTAATTAAAAAATCAAAAAAAAGTTACTAAAAAAATAAAAAAGTCAACAACTTATACCAAAAGGTCAACGATTCTCTTTTTTCTATACTTTTTGTATACATTTTCGTAAAAAATTAAAAAGTTATCTCAAACATACTACGTTTTTTACATCATATTTTAACCAAAAAATTGAAAAGTTATCTCAAACATATTACTTTTTTTACATCATATTTTAACCAAAAAACTAAAAAATTACTAAAAAAAACCTGTTCTTAAACGAGGCATCACTATCGTAACAAACAAACCCAACATGGCATGGAAGCTAATTCAAAAAGCATATGCTAATTCAAAAAGTAAATCACATATTTTACAGTCAAATTGCGACTGCTAGACATGATGTGTTGTTTAAAATATGCCCCAAAGTTTGTTGAGCTTACACCAATTGAGAAAGACAAAATTTTATAAACATGTGAAATGACAACAATGTCCAGTTGGGTAACCAAAAACTAGGGCTGAGCAAGGAATCCGTGAAATCCGTAATTCGATCCAGTCCAGTCCAATTCAATAGGTTTGGATTGGTTTTTTGAATCCGTGGTTCAGTTCTGGATTAAAGAATTAAAAATCCGTAGTCCACAGATTGGTTCCGGATTAAACCCCACGGTTCCGGATTGGAACCGATCCGAACCGTATACACATAGTCTATATTTTTATTATACATCCTCCCCCATAGTATCTTCTCTTATTCCATATAAAACATAAACTCAAACCTAAACCTGCATAATATCTTCTTTTATTACTTTTATTTGTTAGTTTTTAATTTCAATTTGTAATGGTCTAAATACTTATGGTGAAACCAATTTTCTTATGGTTGTTTAAATTCTAGAACAGTATGTCGTTATTATAGAAAGACATGTTACTATTGTGGAACTAATATAGCGCTATGTTTATGTTTTTATGAAATTAAAGTGTTATATATATATATATTGTTATTTAATTATGTGAATCCGTGATCCTAAACCGATCCAATCCGTATTTAAATGGATTGATTCGGATTGGTTCCGTAATTTAAACGGATTGGATTGGTTCCAATTTTTCAAAAACCGTAAATAACGAATTGGTCCTGATTTTATCCCAATCCAATCCAATCCAGACCATGCTCACCCCTACCAAAAATGACTTGATATCTAGTGGGACAAACAAAGTTTACCTAACACCATCACGGGCTGGATCCGAGAACAGACAATCTTTGGTGGGGCGACCCGGTAATTGGGCTCTGAGGATTGACCCATCAGGTAAAACAAGCTTCTTCAGCAGATCAAAGTTGTGCTTCCCAGGTGCATCACTGTCCCAAAATTAACTCAAAAAACATTAGCCATCAGATCTTAAAAAACAAAAAACTCATCACGTGATCAACGGTGGTGATTTCTTACCTAACGTAAACGGGCCCACCGCTGATGGCCCTGGCTGATGCATGATACTCAGCTGCAGGATGAAGGGAGTGGAACATGTCCCAATCTGGCAGCATGAATTCTCCAAGGAAGAAAGTATTGTATGCAACGGCGGCGATGTGGATCGTGTGTGATACTGGATCACGTGGGAAGAAATCGTCCGATGCTCTCACCACAGCCGTCTGTTTGGAGCTGTTCCACAGCATTCAAAAGACCACAACCACATCAGAAAAAATCTCCAAATTAAATTATACCTTCTTATTAATACCATGTGCAATCCAGGTGGCTCCAAAAATAGAATATGTACAGGCACATAATTTATTATTCTTCAAAATGGTTCCTTGCCAAACAGCTTTCAAGCATCTATACCGGCATCTTATAATATTCATCAAACCTAAAACTTGAATTAATTGATATTAATTAAGTTGGTCAAAACTCTTGTAGGAAGTTAGTTATGTCCCAACTATGGCTTTTCAATTAAAATAATAATAAAAATAAATAAATAACAAATTTTTCTAAAATTCTCAAACAGTATAGCAAAATTATTGTCAAAATCTAATCTTATCGAACTTGGGACAAATTTAACAAAGTTACTTTGCTTGGTTCCTCTTTTTCAAAAATACTTTTCAAAAAATTCTACTTTCTTATTTTTCGTATTTTTTTTGTTCTTATTTTTTGTACTTTATAGACATATCTAACATAAATATACCTAAAAGTAACAAAATTGTGAAAAAAAAAACCTTTTAAAAATTCACTAAATATCAAAAAAAAAAACGAGAATTCAGTAAATTTTTTTTATTTTTTCGTATTTATTAATATTTTAAAATATTTTTTCACAAATTTTTTACTTTTTGGATACATCTAAGTAAAGTGCATCTAAAAAAGTTATAAAAAAAACGTTTGAAATTTTAAAAATATTCACTAAAAAAAACACGAAAATCAAAAAACTCAATTTTTAAAAAATTAATCCAAAAAATTCAAACCAAACGCACTTATTTATGTCTACTTCTCCTTGTGATGCAGTTCACAAATAATATTTCTATTTTCGTAAATAAAAAAAATTAAAAATTACATGGTACTATTAAGACAAAATTGTCAAAACATAATCTTTTAAGATAAAATAATATTAAATTTTGATTTTAACATCACCAGAGATCCATCAAGCATGGGTATGGGTAAAAAATTGGTACCGATACTGAACGGGTACATTGATACGGTAAAATCTAAAAAAAAATAGGATACGAGTATAGTTTGGTACACTTGTAAACAAATATTTTTTTTTTAATTTAGAGTAATTCAAAAATTAATTAAATAATTTAATTTGTTAAGATCCAACCTATAATTAACATTTAATGTCAAAAGTAAATGTGTAAATCAAAATTAAATGTTAATATATTAAATAATTTACAAACCATATTTTAATTTTAAAATCATACTAGGTATAAAACTAAAAATAAAAAAGAAGTCTAGTGAAAAAAAATTTATCTCTGTAGTAGAAGAAAATATTTTTTTAACTGAGGTATGGTACGGCTTGGGCATATACTAGATACGTCTGAGTACGCCAAAAATTAAGAAAAAAAAAATTAGATACATGTTTCATGTACCTAATACGTATATAAAAATACCATACGATGTACCATATACCGATAAATACCCAATATGAATAGGACATGCTTTTCAAAGTACCCATCCTTCGTAGCCAAAGATGCTCTAGAGCTATGAATTTCTCATATGACATAGTAAACAAAAAAGCCTTATTATTCATATGCAAAATTAGATCCATTTTTAAATTTAGTAGCGTGTCAAGAAAATGATTGATTAATAATTAAATATTTTTTAATTGTTAAAAAAATCTATTTTAATTATTAATCAATTATATTCTTAATGCATAAAGGTTCGTTTAGGAAATGGATTGACTATTTAATTTTTTGACTATTTTAATATAGGGTTAAAAAGCCTCGTTTGGAAAGAAATTATTTGATTTTTTTTTTGACTTTTTGTGAGAGAAATAATATAATGATTATGAGTTAGACGTGATGTTTTATCTTATTAAACTAAAAAATCTATTTTATTTTCTTGTGATTATTTTAACCAAAAAAATCCCATACCTCAACTCCCCAAACCAGCTCTAACTGAGTTTAGAAATTAAATTTAAAAAGAGCCTTGAGATTAATTTTAAAAAGTAAATTTATATATCATTTTTCTAAAATATCATAGTAAATAGAAAACCGGCAAAGTTTTTCAAATTTGTTATCAAATAATTTTACTTATTAAGTACTTTTTTTGGGGGTAGATATATTAATTACTTTTAAGTCCTCATAATTTTTTGAAATTGAATAAATTCTCCAAAGAAAGAAAGAAAGAAAAAATAAAATGAAATAAAGTACCAGTAAAGCGCATCAGTATTATGGCTCATGCAAGCAATGATCCCATTATCAGGAAAGTGGGAAGCAACAGAAGCATCAAGAGCCTGATGATACATTCTGGTGAGCTCTACCCTCCCTCCCAATCCACCCCCAAGTGTCTCCAATATACATTGCGCATCCACCTTCACCCCATCCACCCCTGCCCCACTCAGATACCCGTGCAACTCATTGTAAAACTCGTACACCTTCTTTGGCTGCACTAACCCCAATCCCTGCACCGCCAGTGCATCACTCTTCCATCCTGGCTCATTCTCCACCACTCCCTTGGACACCTTTGGATACTTCATCAACGATCCATATTCCTCCATCTCTGCCTCCCCTGGCCTCACCCCTCCCCAGTATCCCGTGATCGCATGCCACACGTACACGTGTCTCAGCCCGTACTTCTCCTTCGCTATCTTCACTATGTTCTCGATCCCCTTCCCTGGATCCTCCTTGTTTTTGAACTTGGCGTTTTCTTTGATCGCTGTGAGTCTCAGCAACGGCGCTTGATCCGACGGCTGTGGTTGTTTGTCTCCGCCTACCGACTGCCATCCGTCGTCGATTATGACGAATTTCGGTGGGGATCCACCGCTGGCGAGGCTCGAAAGCCCTGCCTCGACTCCTTCTTGGGTTACTTCCTGGTAAAACGCGTCCCAGGTGCACCACCCGAAATAGTCAACGATTCCGGGGAGTTTCTTCTCGTGCCGTTGACGGAACGTTTTGAGATGCGATTTAACGGCTCTGATTGCGTCTGTGATGGTGGCGAAGGGGTCCGTCCCTGCGCTGACGTACACCGAATGAGTGAAAACCGACGACGTCGTTTCGGAGTCGCCGCTTTCTAAGCAGAGCTCGAGTTCGTCCCGAGCGTCGTTGCCTTGGAGGCAGGCTCGGAAGGAGCCTTCGATCAGAGGGAGGAAAACGGTGTAGACGATCTGATCGTTTTGATTTCCGCCGTCTGATTCGAGGTGGGACCCGTCTTTGGTCTCGAGCAGTAAGAACTGAGTCTCTAACGGAATCTCACGACCTTGATCCCCCATTCGCTGAGCCATCCACCATAACTTGAACCTAAAGCACGCCAAGAACCGGACGTCTCGTAATTTCCCCAATGACACCACGTGCCTGCTCTTCTCCTCTTCCAGAACCGCACCCAGAAACACCCCCTCCACCGGACCCGACGACGAACCGGACGTGGCTAACACATTGTCCGGTACGTCGGTGAGGATGGCGCGGTCCTTCACCACCAGCTTCCGATCCGATATCCGAACCGCCGGCGTAATCGTCATCGGACTTTCTCGCTTCTCTACCTGTCTCTCTCTTTCGATATAAACTGACGATGATCCCAACTCACGACTCCTCTGCAAAAAGCATACAATTAACAAACTATATATATATATATATATATATTATATGAATCTATGCATATACGAAAGATTGAAGAAGAAGAGGAAGATGATGAGGATGATAGATTTACCTACCTTGAATGCGAAAATGGAGAGAGAAACAGTAACAACTGGGAATAATGGTGTTGTTTTGCGAGTGTGAAGAGAAGAGATGGATGAGAGGGATTTTATAGTGGGGGCAATGAATCGAGGACAACTGTAATAATTTGATAGACGCACCACCATAGCAGCTACACACAGGTTTCTTCTGGCGTTATTTGTTGTTGTGTTGCTGAGAAATAGAATATACAATTTACGCATATCTAACGGTCCACAAAAAGGAAGAATTTATTTGGTCGTTAAAGATAAAGGCTGATCAGATTGCTACGTTGGATACACGTAATTCAAAACCCATACGAAAACACCAAAGTTGAACCGGACAACGCTATTCACTTGACAACGTTAATTAACTGATAATACTGCCACCTAATATTATCATTATTAAACTTAATACCTACGAATTTATATTTGATTATTTTTGTACTTTGACTTTGTTTGGGATATTTTAAAAAAGTCAAAAAATTAAAAATTTATTATTTTATTTAAGTCATATCACTTCTCTATCATATCACTTCAAACTCAACACATAGCCATACCCAACTTATATTTCACAAAAAGTCAAAAAGTGCACTTATTTAGATCATTCCAAACCACCACTTTATCCTTTAAAATATATTTATTTTTTATTTTGACATTTTATATTTCAAGATTTTTTTACTTTATTCTTAAAATTAGTTTCGGTTAAAAATTAAACAAAAAATAACATATTGAACGTATAAAAGTATTTTATTATATATAACTTGCACTTCTGATATAAACTCAAACTATAATATAATAATATATTTTTTATGTTATGAGTAGTTATTGGAGTATTTTGAGAAGTTGGTAAAAAATTAATTTTTTGACTTTTTTAGTCTATTTTATCTTTTTATGAGTAAAAAATGTGAGAGCTGATATGACCCAAAATGAGTAAAAAAGTTAAAAACTGGCTTTTTAGCCTCTTCCTTAAAGACCCCATTGTGATATTTTTTGTCTAATTTTAAACAAAAATTAGTTTTAGGAGTAAAATTTAAAAATTTAAAAGTTTTAAAAAAAACTTTAAACACAAATGGCCAGAGTGAAAAATATAAATAAATAAACTTTAAAGACTAAAGTGAAAAAGTAACCAAATATAAAAGAAGGCAAATTGTAATTTATCCAATATTTAGTTATTGATCAAATTTTCTATAGGGTTATGTTTATCAAATAATATATATATATATATATATATATATCAAATTTAACTACTGTTTGGATTGTCATTAAATGAACTTATTTAACATGCTAAGCCTCCGTTTGGAAAGTGGGTTGGCTTTTTGGCTTTTTGGCTTTTTGGCTATTTTAGCCTGGGCTATTTTAGCCTGGTTTGGGAAGGACTTTTTGGCTTTTTGGCTTTTTTAACTTTTTTTGTGAGAGATGATTGTAATGATTATGGGTTGGATTTGATGTTTTGTTTTTTGTGGCTAAAATAGCCTATTTTGTTTTTTGTGGCTATTTTAGCCCCAAACCAAGTTCCCAAACAATGCCTAAGTGTCACATTAGATTTATAAATAAATTTGATAGTATAAAAATTTGGTAATAATAAAATTACTCAAAATAAGTAATGATGTGATAACAAAAATTTTAAGCCAAATTTGTTTATTGTGTGAGGTGTCAATCACTATACTGTGTAATAAACTCCACTTCCCATGTGTTAATGCTTGGAAATTAGTTTTTTTTCTTGTTTTTTATTTATTTTTATTTTTTTAATCAGGTGTCTGTCTTAACTTATGCATAAAATTGGTAAATTGCTATTCATTATAAGTTAATTCTATGATTATAGCTTTTCAAATTTAAAAATAAAAAATAAAATAAGTTATAATTTTGTTTGATTCATCTTTTGATAATTGTTAAATAAAGTATAATTTATTTAATTAAATAAGTTGTCACATAAATTTTTTAGGGTAAATTATTTATAAGTCCTATTTAGAAGACTTATACAAGATATCCTATGAAAAAATTTGTAACCTAATAGGTCCGGTGATTTTCTTGTAGACACATCTACTCTCAATTTTAATTAATTAATAACTTGATTAATGATAATACCATGTATGGAAATCCAATGTTACCATAGACTGTAACCATAACCTGATTAATGATAATACCATCTATGGAAATCTAATGTTACCATAGATTGTAATCATGTTTATATGGTTAGAAATTTGAAATTCAAGATAACATAATTAATGGCAATACCATATAAGTGAAATTCAATGTTACCATACGTTGTGATCATATCCATATAGTTGAAAATTTAAAATTTAAAACGTAAATGTAACATGTAACATCCCAAACCCAATGTGATATTCTCATATGCTTTTGAAATTCAAAATAACTGGATTAATAGCAATACAGGAAAGTCAAAACATAAATATAACATGTAACATCTAAAACTTAATGTGATATTCTCATATGTTCTCATCTCAGACCTAACGCAAATGTAACATGTAAAATCCAAAACCTACCATGACATTCCTATATGCCTCTCATCCCAAACCCAATGTGATATTCTAATACTCTATCGTTGAATTATGAATAATGTAACTTCCTAAATGTAATATATAACATCCTAACACACACCCATGTATTGAACCACCATCACTCCCAACCCACCGTAACTTCGACATCACACGACGGGGTTCAACCCACATTCAATTAAAAAAATAAAAAATCTAATAATTTTGTGCAATGTAATATGACACGTATGTAAACAATAAATATAACAACGACACAACACACATTCAAAAACAAATATAACCGAACGTAACACACAAAAGACATAACAACGTTGTGGATGTGGGTTAATAGTACAACCTAAATGTAACATCATTAGATGCTAATGAAAGTATGCCAATGGATGGCTGTAATAGATTGTCAAACCCATATCAAATAAGATCACAGTGAAACATGAACAATCGGCACCACACAACAACAAATCTCACTAATTGGAGAAGCAAAAACCATACCTCCTTCCCTCAACACTTGGAGTCCAAATTAGCAGAAGCAAACAAAACACAATCTCCAACCTTGACAACAGTAAGTAACATTTTCTAAATCCATCGGAATCTGCGATCAATGTGACATTCACGCAAACAGACATAGCCTGCACAATACACTTTCCTAAAAACCTCCAAAAACATAATATGTTGAATGATACAATAACCTATAATATGAAAATAAATAAGGGGTATAACAATAATATCATTTATTTACAACTCATAGGACCTTATAGAACACATTCATATCTTAGGACTTGAAACTCTATAAGAAATTACACAGGATTTCACATTAAATAAGCTACCATAATATAACTTAAAAATAATTTTCCCAAATCGATAATGCATATGAATAATTTTCATGTTAGCACACTAATAGGTGTGTACAATTACTTCATAAAAAATTCATAAACAATGGACACCACACATGAACAATTGGCACCATACAACAATAAATTCATAAGTTTCAAGTCCTATCAGATAAGATGATAGTGAAACATGAACAATCGGCACCACACAACAACAAATCTCACCAATTGGAGAAGCAAAAACCATACATTCTTCCCTCAATCATTTGGAATCCAAATCAGCAGAAACAAACAAAACACAACCTCCAACCTTGATGATATTATTGGCCATATTCACATTCAAACAAGCAACAATTTTCAAAATCATCAGAATTCGCAATCAAGGTGACATTCACTCCCACGAACGTGGCCTGCACAATCTACTTTCCTAAAAGCCTCCAAAAACGTAATATGTTGAATGATACAACCTATAATATGAAAATAAATAAGGGGTATAATAGTATATTAATACCATTTATTTACAACTCATAGGACCTTATGGCACAGATTCCTATCTAAATAGGACTGGAAACTCTATAAGAAATTACACAGGATTTCACATTAAATAAGTTCCCATAATAGGACTTATAAATAGTTTTCTCAATTTTTTATTGCGAAAATATTTGGATTATTTTTAAAAGTTATAATTAAAATTTAAAAAAATATGAGATTCTTTTCTTCATTCCTATAGATTTTCAAATAAGCTAATATACACACAAATTATAACGTATAAAAATCTCACATTTTTTGACTAAATAAACTTAAGAAATCATATAAATTATAATTAAATATCATTAATCACTTTTTTAAGTTAAATAAATTGACTTATAAGGTTATGTCAAATTGGCATCTCATATTTATTTATTTTTTGTTATGTGTGACTAGTAAGATTAGTAAGAGAGATTAAAAAGACTTAATGGCTTTAAAGGGGGAAAAAAGTTCAATATATTGATTGATCACGTGATATTACTCTCTAATAACAAATTAAATTAACATAAGCATAATAAATCTCGCTATTCATATGTTGCTACAAAATTAACTTATAATATAAGAAATTATATTTGACTAAGGAGATTTACTATTATTTTCTATGTGTAATTTTGTAATGAATTGGTAATGTCATTTCTTAATAATGACATCATTGCTGTATGGGGAAAATATAATTTAGTGACATCTTCACAAAATAATTATAAATTCATAAAAAAATTTAAACTTTAATTATTTGTAAAATTTATTTTTTCTTAAAAGAAAAATCCATACATTGAATTAACTCCAATCCAAAAAGTAGATCCACTTTTCAAATTTAACGATGTAACAATCTATTAAAATATTTAAGGTAACTCTCTTTTTCTTTCATATCTTCGCTAATTATCAATCAGTCATCTTGTACACATAAATTCTTGTTTGCAAAATAAAGATAGAAAAAGAGTGGAAAAATATAAGCTTATTTAATTTAAAATGATGTGATTACAATTTATAATAAATTTTCTAATCAAAGGAATTAATCATCTGATTCTTATTTTCGAAAAAGTTGATTCAAGGGTTTGATAACTTCTTCCCTGAATCGAGTGGAGAAATCTCCTCCAAGTAGCATGAAGAAGACGACGAATTTGATATATTGACTCGATGGCATGACAACTTATTCCCAAATCGAGCGACAAAATCTCCATTAAGTAGTGCGAAGAAGATAATGAATGTGTAGGATTTTGACTTGAGGGTTTGACAACTTATTCACAAATCAAAATTTGTAAAATTCTCTCCAATTGAAAACCATAAATTTGTAGAGTCTCACGATAAGTTTTGATT